AAAATCAATAAAATAAAAACTTAGTTTCAGAAACTGTTATTAACCAAACACAAAACCTATGTAGGTTTCTGGTCTACATAGTAAGTTCTGGGTCAACCTGGGCTACAGAGAGACCCTGTCTCAAAAATAAAACAAACCAAACCAAAGGGTCACTAGTCACCGACTGTCTTCTGACACCTCCTGGAAAATACTTTTGTAAGATCAGTTTCATTCATTTTATTTTTATGTGCAGGTGTGACCTTGCCACAATGCATGGATGGGAGGAGGACAACTAGCAGGACTCAGACTGCTCCCCCCACCATATGGTTCTGTGGATTGATTTCAGGTCTTCAGACTTGGTGACAAGTTCTTTGACCCACTAAGCCGTCTTGTTTGCTCAAAAAATATCAACTTTGGGGACTGGAGAGCCATCTCAGTGGTTAAGAACACTGGTTATCCTTGTAGAGGACCCAGATTTGGTATCCAGGACCCACATGCAGCTAACAACTCTCTGTAATTCCAGTTCCAGGGGAATTCACCCCTTATTCTGGCCTCTGTAGACATTGTACACATGTGGTGCACTTAGATACATGCAGGCAAAACACTCATAGACATAAAATCAAAATAAATAAAATTTGTTTGAAGGTCAACTTTTTAAAAATTCTTGTTGTCCCATTTATAAAACATATACTTTGACTCAATGAAAGCATCATATCTTCCTCTTGTCCCTTGTCCTGATTTGTGCGTCTTCCATTGAACTGTCATTTATCATGTTGATCACATTTATTCTAAGTGGATCTTTCTCCCTGTATTCTGTACATTCTTTCAAGATGGAAACTGTCTATTCATTTTCTTCCAGCTCTTTCATTTGATAAGTAAAATGTTATAACGGTAATAACATAATTGTCATGAAAATGACTCTAGGTCAACTAGAGTGGATACCACAAGGTACTAACAGAGCTAACTCCCAGCCCAGTCCTTCCAATAGTCGTAATAGTAGTAGGAGTAGTAGTAGTTGTAGTTGTAGTAGTAGTAGCAGTAGCAATAGCAGTAGCAGTAGCAGTAGCAGTAGTAGTAGCAGTAGTAGTAGTAGTTCAATAGTGCTTAATATTCACCAGGGACAAATATTTATTAGTTCTCCATGTAGTCAAAAAATTTAGGAGTGGGTATTGTTAGTTTCCACTTTATAAGAGAGGAAACTCAGCCAAAATATTTAGTAACTTTCTAAAGTTTTCTGTTATAAGTGAAGGGTTTTGGAATGCTTTCTCATGAATATGATGCATTCTGCCTGTCTTTGACTCTGTGCTGATCACTGCATTGCTTCTAGACGTGCAACTGCTGATTGAGCCCATCTTCCAAATGATAATGCCCCCAAGTGTACATTTGTATGAGGTATGAGCAGGAAGCAACACACCCATTAATTATAAATACAAGGGTAACCCATCCACGAATTCTGATCATTCAAATAGGATGAGTGTCTTTCATATGCAAAGACTAGAGAGGAGTACAGTCCTGGACACGGGGGATGGCTCCTGACAAAATAGTCACAGTTTTCTCTCCCAATCAAATAGGTAGGGACATATACTACAGATGACCATTAACCCATATAGGATATTACCTAGGAAAGGCCTGTAAAAAGAAAAATACCTTATAAGCTCTAGCAATGTGTAAATTCAAACTTGAATGTTTTCTTGATTTTAGTTACTCATACTTCTTTGCTGATTTTATTACAATATTCTTAAAAATCTGGATAGGCCTTAACATATACAACAGAATACATGAAATCAGATGTGAGGAGTATGTGAGGTACAGATATGTGAGGGTTTCTAAATTTGATTAAGATCTATTATATGAAATGCACAAAAACTCAATAAAAATATACATAACATGAAAAAAGTCAAATAGTAAAGAGGTTTTCCTGATTTTCTATTATTTGCACTGAGCTATTCTATCTTTAATATTTAGAAGACCAAATTAATTATTCTCTTCAAACTAGGTTGTTATAACTGCATGTAGATCAACTTTATAAAAGAGGGGCTGGAGAGATCGTGAAACAATTAAGAACATTAGCTGCTCTTGCAGAGGACCCAGGTTCAATTCCCAGCACCCATATGGCAACTAACAACCAACAACCATCATTAACTCTAGTTCTAGAAGATTTGATGACCTTTTCTGGCCTTTGTGTTACATGACAGGTGCATTTGCATGCATGCAGGCAATTACTCATACACAAACACACACAAACACACACACATACACATTTTTTTTTTAGTCTTTTTGAGACAAGGTCTCCCTGTAATCCCAGCTGACCTGGAGCTCACTATGTAGACCAGGCTGGCCTTGTACTAGCAGAGATCCATCTGTCTCTGCCTCCCAAGTGCTGTGATTAAAGGCATGTGCCACCACACCCAGCCCAAATAAAATATTTTTAAAAGCATTTACAAAATATAAGAGAGAAAATACAATGATGAAGTTTTAGTGAGAATATAGACTGAAGTAAAGGCAGGAGCCTGAAAAGTAGAAAGGGAAAGGGATGACAAGGGGAGAAGAGAGAAGGAACTCCAGAGAGGTGCCCTGGAGGACATAGGTACTAACAATGGGAAAGTGACAAAAAGTAGGGATCTTAATTGGTGAGAACAGAGGGAGTGAAGATAAGACAGAGGGAACAGGAAGGAGAGCAACATGGGGGGACTCAGTAGTGACAAACTTTGGGGCTGTGGGAAAAGGTAGAGGGAAGTTGAAGGAATTGGAAATTGTATAAATTCTCATAACTACATAAAATTCACAAAAAATTAGAAGAAAAGATAAAATATGTAAAATCAAAGGTCTCTTGATGCCCTGTCACTAGTGCAGTGACAGAAGACAGCTGTTTGTGTAAGTATTGAAATTATTGATTAGGACATGCAGAAATGAACCATCTGGCATTAATTCAAACTCAGCATTGGAAGTTCCATAGTAACTATTCCTCAGGCAATGAAGCAGCTGAGTATCACTTCAGTACCAAATCTAGAAGTAATAACTCTAGGTTTATACAACAATGGAATGTCATTAATGAAAACCCAGTCAGTGCTTCGCCATGCTTTCCTCAATCCATTAGCTTTTCCTTCTTAATGTTTCATCTCCTTGAAATGGCTTTGGAAACCTGGAACAACATCCTCATACAGCAGCACTCGGAGCAGGAAGGCAAGGAAGAGTGGGAAAGGGAAGGCTGACCGATCACTGTGTAGTTAATGAAATACACGATCTCCAGAAACCAAGTCCAGTTTGATGGTTACAATTCAGACACTGGAACAGCCTCAGAAAGTTGGAGAATTTAGTATCCCTCAAAGGGAAGTGCAGTTTTCTTGGTGGTTTCAGTTGAAGCCCACCTGTGCCATAACATTTCCCCTTTGTTGATTCACAAACAACATTACAACTGTAATAGCCAAAAAGGAAAGTGTAAGAACCTCAATATAAAAAGAGTTAAATAGAACTTTACAGAAATCCACTAATTATTTCAATAATCCATGAATTCTGAAAATAATAAATAATATATAAAATCTATCATAATGTTTTTAAAATGTATTAGTAAAACTAAAGTTCTCACATTTAAATTACAATAAGATATATAAAAATTAAATAAATTACAATGTGAATTCTCATATGGCTAACCACAAATATAATTTCCCTCTTATTAACCTACTGAGACAAGCATACGGTTGTTAATTAGGTCATGGGAAATGGTTCAGTGGTATTCAACAGCGTTGGGAAGAAATACTATCATTGTCAGATAAAATTTCTTCTTATGAAATAAAATTATTTTTACATTATAAAATTAGAAAGTATATTAGTAACTAATACAGCAAATTACTTTTAACAACTGCTAGTTTACTACATAAATAATTTGAAATTAAGGTGAGCAAGATAACTTCCAGCATCAATATTTTTTGGGGGGGTTTGAGAATTGTATTTAATGTAGATACTAAAAATTATAGATATCGGTAGGAAAAACACATTGACTATACCAGGCGTGATTTAAAAAGTACAAAAATATTACTTTTTATTTCCCTTTGGTAACTTTGTGTTTATCAATAAAAAATTGAATTATGTGACCAGTTTTTAGAGTTAGACCCATTTGACAAATTGTTGCCATTTTAACATTAAGTGTAGTCAGGGCCATGCAGCAAGCTTCTCATATCAAAGAAAATAAGTGATTGTTTATTCTAAGTCAAACAAGAGGAGCAAGTCTTGGCAACATGGATTTAAGCTGTTCACAATAACATGTTCCAACATACAAGTGGTTCCATAACTTTTATGGTTACACAACAAAGTCATCAATCAATGCATTTTTTAAAATACCTAGGTTGGTTCCAGAAAAAAGGGGAAACATCTGCTATGGGCTTTAGATGCTATCTGATGACATTCTTTGTTTGGGGATTGGTAGAAGCTGGAGTCTGTTAATATGTTCCATAGGTTTGATCTGATGTTTGGAGGGCTATTATGTCAGACACAAGGGGGCAATGAGCGGCTGTGAAGGGGGTTAAGGGGGATCTAGGCTTTGGATCTGCAACATTCTAATAACAAAGTTATAAATTGCCACTAGGCCTTGCAAAGTTTTTAACATAAGCATGGCTTTTTCCTCTGGTAACTTCAGTTTAATCAGTCCTTTGAAAAGCATAAAGACAGTCAGTACAAACTGAGAATATAGCACAACCCCATTTGTATTCCAAACTGGGCTACAGTGGGTATAGCCACTTTCACCTTGGCTTTCTAGTGGTTCCTCTTGACTCACAACTCACAGGAGATTGCCAAACACGAAGAGAATATATTAAAATTGTACAAAAATTGAGCAAAAGATGAATTTGAGTGAAGAATGGCATCTTCCAGTTAATCTGATGAGGACTTAGAAAATTACATAACTGGAAAAACTTATTTTTAAACTCACACCTTAATCTTGGACTCTTTTGTCATTTCTAGTCTAGTTTTCAACTAATGGATTGGTCTATAATGCTTTCATTTTTTTCAATTCCTCTTGTTTCTAGGCGGTGAGCACAGATCCTGTCCCCGTTAAATTACACTATGACAAGTCACATGACCAGGTCTGGGTGCTCAGCTGGGGCAGCATGGAGAAGACGTCACCAACACTGCAGGTAGGGCATCTCAGGGAGCTGAGAAATGATGTTCTTTAACCTTTGGTTTCATAGTGGACATTTGTAACCATTCTTTCTTATGAGAACTTTAATTTCAGTCATTTGGTATGTATAGAAAAATTTAAAAAAAGGTTTATGCTCAAGTATTTTTGTTTAGATTGAGAACATCACAGACCATATTTATTGAAAACTGATTTCTTATGCCAAAAGAATAAATGATGAAAAAAGCTGATAGCATTGGAAAAAGCAAAAACCCAGTTTATTGCAGTCCATAGTCCATATCCATAACAGAATTCCAGAGACTAAGGAATTTATAAAACAGAGAGATTTACTTTCATAGCAGTGGAAGTTTTGAAGTATAAGAGCACAGTTGCAGCTTCTGTCAAAGGCTTAGACGATGAGACAGACCATGAGTGTCACGTAAGGCTTAGTGATATAACAGAGCCTCTTCCTTAAGAACCAATTCATCCATTAATTCACGATTGGATGGCAGATTCAAACTACAGCGTTGTGTATTAGTATTTTCAGCAAAGCTGTGACAAAGAGATCTGAAATTTGATAGCAAAAGTCTCAAGGCTGATCTCTGTTCTTCAAACACCTAATGTTTGATTATATGAATACAGGCTTATTTTTAATTAGGGATATGCTGGGTAACTCTTGAGTGATCTGCTTTTTTTGAAGTTGTTTATGTAATAACTTCACAAACGGAGAGAAAGAAAAATAATCATTTTGACTGTGACACTGTCCCGCAGCCTCCAGATTCTTAGAGATACAAGTGTAAGCATGACCAGAGAGTAGATAGGAAGAATGTTAGAAACCAATTATGTTCCATTCTCAAATTACTTTTAATCGTGTTGTTGCCTTAAATATGTCTTTCCTTTCAGGACCCTGATTCATCAACTTTGTGCATATTTTTTTAAACGTATGTAATGTGTAAGATTTTTATGCCCAGGCAGTTGTCACTAACAGTATTTTTTAGTGTTTCTAAGAAAATTTTGATATTGCAATATTTAATTCAAATGCTTCTGAACTATTGAAATGAAATATTTTAATTATCTATCTTTTTGGTGGTTCATTTTATGTTTACCAGAACATTTTCATTTCATTTGACATTTGAAACATCTGAAATATTATATATCATCTCATTCCCTATTTTGCTAATCAAACCATGCAAAAACTAAACATAACTTGAAGAACCACTTCTCTCTCCAGGTTCTGTGAAGTGGCCTCTAGGTTAGAATGCAGATGGGATCTATATACACAGCTATATGTCCACTTACCCACTGCCCCACACTGGCCCCTTTCCAGGTCCATCACAATTTTGTGAGCTCATCTAGGTGTTTGCATTTCCCACTTGTGACTTCTTGCTCTTAGCTACACATCTGCATAGCACAAAGCTTTCGGATGACAAAGGCAGAACTTCAAGGCTATTTAAGATCCAGGAACTAGAATTCACAGTCACTTCTGCCACTTCTTATTAACCCATCAGATCTCTTTCCCTTCCAGAGCAAGAGAGACTGAGTAACAGCTTGCTTCCTTCACAGAGAACAGTTGCAAGAGAGCTGCACTTCAGCAGGGTAACAGGTCTAGTTATTGGAGATTTGGTGTTTAAGTCTAATCGTGACAGGATAAATAAATAGTTCAGTATGTATGACTTTAAAAATTACATACCTAGGCTGGAAAGTTGGATCAGCAGTTAAGAGCACTGCTTGTTCTTTCAGAGAACCCCATTCAGTTCAGCACCCATGTGGTAAATAACAACTGCCTGAAACTAACTTCATTTTCAGGAGATTCTGTGTCCATTTCTGGTCTCAGTAGGCATTTCATGCACATGATGCATTAGCATACATACAGGCAAAACATTCAAAAATATAAAATAAAATAAAAATAAATAAAAAGTTTTTTAAATTATATACCTGTAAATTATTTAATGCTATTACCTTTAAGTTGTCTTAAAACTTAAGGAAAGCTTTACAATCCTGAAAGTTTTAAATTATTTTTCTTTTAAGATAAAACCACATATACTTTCAATATGCCATATCTGTTTGAAATCAATAATTTCCCTTTTCTTTTGGTTCAAGCTACTTAGATAGATTAAAGCATCAAGTGCTGCAATATTCACAAAATTGTTTAGAAAAACTCTAATAGTACACAAACCTTCCCAAAAAGACTCTACAAATCCTACATAAATTTATCCACATTGTCATCTAAAAATGAGTCCTTGATTTTGACTTGATTACCAAGTAAAAATGTTTGTAGTGATAGAATATAATGACTTCTTTAAAATATTTTCCAAATTGGAGTTAAGTCATATATGAAAATACAAAATAAAATGCAGAAACAAAGAGTTGCCTCAAAACAGCTCATATAAGAAAGGTTATTTACATGAAGATAGATGAATAGATGACATATAGATGATAGATGGTAGATACATAATAGGTAGATGAAAAGCTAGAGATTGATAGATAAATAGATAATAGGAAGACAGACTGATAGGCTTCTAGATATATCTATATAAATGGAAAGATAGAAAATGAGTAGTACAGAGTGTCTGACTCAGGGAATGGCGCATACACCATCATGGAATATGTGGTCTTTATCCATGGAATGTGTGGTGACTGACCCTGGCACCTTACACCTGCAACACAGCTGTACTTCCATGGAGACATACTGGGATATGTGACTACGTGTTTGGAAGCTTCTGTTATGTGAGCAGCACCTGCCCTCTGGAGAGAAGTCACTCTCTGGAATATGTGGGAATCTTCTGGGAGGACCAGCAGTCAGTGCTTGGAATGTCAGTTATTGGTTCCAATGCAATAAATTGCTAATCTCTTGAGAGCAATCCACCACCACTAGCTTCCCAAGCACTTTTGTAATTCCTTACTAGTGTTGCAGATGCCCTTTGTTCAGAAAATCCTGATTCTCCAGAAATGTCAAATATGCATGGATAATTACCTCCCAGCAGGATTATCAGAAACATTGACAAAGGAAATGGGATTTAAAATATGTTTGAAAAGGAGAAGCAATGATCCTTCCAAGAAATTGAACTCACATATCAAAACTGTGGGTAACATGTCACTTTGGCTCTAGTGTTCGTAAACCATGTCTGTCTCAGAGATGAATGATGAGAACCGGACACTGGTCTCTGAAGGCTGAGAAGTCCCAGTTTCTTCAGCACTGCATATCTGTTAAGGACACCATTGACTCAGGAATATGTCATACCATTTCATCAGCAGCAGGAAATTCCTACATATATGATCATTTTATACTTTTATCTAGGTTTTAGCTATACATTTTTGCTGAATTTGAAGGCAAGTTATAAATTTCTGTGATATTTACCATTATAATAATGCCCAGAAGCTGTCATGGTTTTAGGTGTATATGAAAATGCTGATTGGTGATCCTCCCTGGGTTCTCAAAGTTTTATAAGAACTGTATTTTATAAGAACTGTATTTGACATTTTAACTAACATATCTTTGCCTTATGCAAATTTAAAAACTGCAGTTCTAAAAGTCAGAGCAATCTTTTTAAATGTATGATAGGTCTTCAGCACAACAGGAAGCCATCTCCCTAACCACTTTCATTCTTTTTGTTTGAAAATAAAGTTTAAAGAATTTTTTTCAACCCTAACAAAGTAAAAGAAACCTGAACATCTGGAATTTGCTACATAATGAGATATGAGAAATAAAAGATTTTAAAGGCAGTGATACTTGGTGTCCAACTCCCAGAGAGCGAGAGTGTTGTCCTCTGACCTCACATGTGTGCCCAGGCATAGGCAAGCACATGCCCACACAGATATAATGATAAATAAATAAATAATAAATACATAAATAAATGTAAAAATATTGAAAGTTGTAAAACACAGTTTTATATATTCCAAGATTTTCAAAAGCTAAAATAATACATCTATTTTATTTTGGTGTTTACATGGCTACATTGGTATCTTTTTTCTTTAGAAGAAATTTTATCTTAATATTTGTTTTATATCACCTTATGTCTGACTTTTCACTTTTTTCATAGAAAACCTCACAATTGCAAAATGCATGAGTTACTTATGTGCATATTTACAGTCCTGTTTCTCTTAATGAAATGAATGTCTCTGGGATGCAAAGTTGGGAGTGTCTGGCTTGTGCAACGGTCATAGATCATACCTGTAAAAACTAAGGGAGCCACAATGGCCCCCAAGCAGCTCAGTCTTTCTGAAGCATATATTTTTGTTTCTTTATCTTGACTGAATCATTCTTTTTAGTATATGCATTTTCATATTTTAAGCATAAATTGCTTCACAAAGATTTTTCTATGTTCCATTTCTTGATAGAAACAAAAGTTTTGATATTAGAAATTGGCAACATGTTACAAATTTCAATTTTCTATTAACACACTAATTTTGTGGAGGACAATAGAGTGTATACAGGCAAATATATTTTATCTTAAAATTAAACTTCATACTAATACAGAAACATATTTCCCGGGTCTAAGTGTGGTGTGTTCTGCTTAGGTGATAACCCTGGCCAGTGGGAATGTGCCTCACCACACCATCCATACCCAGCCAGTTGGAAAACAATTTGACAGAGTGGATGACTTCTTCATTCCCACCACAACACTCATTATCACTCACATGAGGTAAGTGTTAAGTTGAGTGGCCAGTGTTTCAAGCTTTCTCTCTATTTAATAAAAGCCACATAAAATCATTAAACGGTTTTGTTTTAAAACAAATACAGAGATACAACAAGTGATTTTTATCTTTCTCACATCTGATTGATGCAATTTATCAGTATCAGTGTGAAATTCCTATCATATATTAATTTCCATGCCTAATAAAGAACAAAATTTTAAGGATGCCACTGTATTTTGTTATTCCTATCAATTTAAGAGTTAAAAATTTCTAAACTATTAGTAGAGATTTTCCCCCAAGTTTCTTGCAAAATGTTTGTATTTCCAGGCAAAAAATAATTGGTTTAAATGATTAATTTATTTCTCAAATTTACTTAAAAGGTTAGTTAAGAATTTTCTAATGCTCATTCCAGTTTTTGTTAATATTAAAGTTACTGTTAAATTGTATTAGGAAGCATAGTAAGATGATATAAAAATGTTTGTGGAGCATGCACTTTAGTTTCTAAGTTGTTTCTTGTGTTTCTCCAAGTATTTTCAAGGTGTGAAAGTATTATTAACTCACAGTGATACCTGTGCAAGTCTTCACAGCAGTAGTTTTTTTTTTTTTAGGTTAAGTATATTATTTTTACTTTTTGGTCTTTTTTTAAAATTTAGTAACCACATGACTAGAAGAAGCATTTCATTAGAACTTTAACATATTCAGTAACACATTCCAGAGCAAAGGCACATCTCTTTCAAAAGTGGCTGTATATTTTTAGGTTCACAGTCAAATTAATACAGTTATACAATATTGAACTCAGTATAAACCCTGTAAGACATAAAATTGAATGAGTTTTTACCCTTTAAAAAAGATTTCCACTTCATTTTAAGATATGCTGTTTCCTACATTTTTTTAATGTTACTAACACTTACATGTGTGCACATGTGTCTTTAATCTCTGTGTATCTGATTACTGCTAATCACAGTCGGTAACACTCGGATCCTTAGGACCTGAGTATGGATATAAAGTCATCAGGGAAATTTCACTGGTAATGTTTATCACCTCTACTAATTAACACGATGTAAATTTCCATGCTTCCTCCTCAAATATAATACATGTTTTTTAATTTGTTGATTTTTTGTGTGTATGTGTATATATTACATGGAACATCCCAAACCATCTGATTCAAATACACCCACTTCCCAGATGATGCCCTCCCATAGCTTCCCTCCCCCACTAGAGCCCTTATACTCTGATATCCCTGCTACTGTCTGCTGTGTTGTTGGCACCCCCAGCC